AATTCTATTAAATTAAAATAAATTAATATAATATTAATAAAAATAAATTTATATAACATTAGATAAATAAAAATATAAAGAAGATCTTTTTTTTTAAAATAATATAGAATGTTGAGATTGCGCATGCGATAAATGTTTTAAATGTTTTAATTGAAAATCACGATTGTTTTAATTGAAAATCACATTGTTTTAATTGATTGTCGCGGTGTTTCAAATGAATGTCATGGTTGTTTTAAATGGTTGTCATGGTTGTATTAAATAAATGTAAAAACCGGTATTTTTTGTAAACAATTTTTAATTTTTTTATTTATTTTCAATTTCGTTAGAAATGAATGAGGTACATTTTTTATAATTAAATTTGTTACGCGAAGTGATAATTAATAAAGATGGATGCTCAAATTAAAATTTAATTAAAAAACTTGTTGACAGTTTATTTTATTTAAATCGCTGGCGCATTTTATTTTTTATTTTTTCTATTTTTACGAATAAAAAAGTTCAAAACCTTTTTTTTTTAATTAGACTCACTAATTAGAGCATGAAATTGCCCGTGGTCGATAGCCGTCATTGCGCCGTAGTCGCAAGCGAAACTGGGCTATCATTGGGCCGCTAGCGGGAGGTAGTAAGCGACTGGGGTTGATATTTGACCGGGGCTGGGTTTGATAGAACATAGCCGGGGCCGGGGCCGGATTTGTGACCGGAGCTGTATCAATATTGATATTCTTTATAAATATATTATTGTTATTTAAAATTCATGATATATTTTATATAAAGGTATATATATCATCTCATCGTCATCATCATCATCATCATCATCATCATCATCATCATCATCATCATCATCATCATCATCATCATCATCATTATCAGTATGTTGAAATTTTCAATGAATTTTCGGTAATGCAACTTGCGCTTTCATTCCAATTTAACGGCGCGCAGCATTACCGAAAATTGATATTGTATTATAGTTCATTAGAAAAATTGGGGTGATGGTGAAATTGTTCTTCTGATATGACTTTAAACATTATTAGGATTCAATCACCCTTAAAAATGTGATGAATTCCTTTATAATATAATCCGAAATATGAAATTTATCATGAATTATGAAATTAATCATGTTTTTTTTCGTTAAATCATTTATATATTGTAACTAATTATACTTGAGTTATAACTTACTTGATTTCATGATAAAACTCAAAACAACAAAAAAGTTATTTTGTAATGGAGTGATTATGGAAATGGGTGATGGTCTCCTTTTCATTTGGTATGAAAGATATTGAAATAATTTACTTTGAAAAAGACGTACACTTTTAACTGTGTAATGGAAATGCTCATAAGGTTGCATTACTAAGAACTTAAAGGTTGCAATACCGATTACTAAAAAAACATCATTTTATGTTTATTTCAAGTCAAAATTTTTGAATTTTTTTTTATTTAAATGATAATCTAGTAGTATTTCATTAGAAAAAAGAATCATTCTCAAAATCTAAACTTTGCTTCAGAGTTCTAAACGAAAAACACCTGTTTGAAGGTTGTTTAACTTGATTTACTTTTTTATAAATCAGTTACACAATTTAAATTATTTTTTAATTGCAACAGAATATTAAGATATATAATAATAACTCATCTTGTGTGTTTGTGCCAAGAATGTTGAATAGACGCTGGGATTTGTAATAGTGCTTCCACAACCAGGGGCGCTGACTTACTAAGACCTAGATGCAATTTGAAGGATTTAATTTTTTGGATCTTATAAGAATGTAAGGACAGATTTGAGCTTAGCATCAATATTTTTCAGGTGCTAAAACCTTTAGCGCAAACGTTTGCGCACATTGTACAGTCAGTGAATTAGAAACAGTAAGAGGGCAGTTGTTTTTTTTCCTTAAAGGCTTAAGTGTGGTGTCAACTTTTTTAAAAAAAAGTTTTTATGTAAAACTTAGTATGTGCGCACCAGATTAGATTCATAAAATAAATGTTGGTGAAATAAGTCATAAAAATTTAGAAATATTGAAAGTTTATTTAGTAGTATTTAAAAAATTTTTACAGCCACCCCTCTAACTTGTATTAACAACTTATTAAATGAATATTTTAGTTATATATCGGATACAATTATAGTTAACTACATAAAATGTAAGAAAACTGTAACCTTCTTTACAAACCGCCTCAAAAAGAGGTTGAGGTGCCTGGTTAAGCAGAGATTTGATCTCAAGCATTGCACTACGTCATAAGTCAAAATGTAAAACCAGTGTAAGCGTTATAAATATAATTAGCAAGAAAAATTAACTATTAAATAACTTTTTAAAAAGTAAATAAATTGTTTTGCCTTATATTTCTTAGAATTTAATTTAAATCAAATTGAAATTCAAATTATTAAATCAAGTCATCATTTCTGACAGAATTTCTCGAGATGTAATTATCAAGAGTTATTTTCTTAAAAGATTTAATGCAATTAATTATAATATAAATAATTATATAAGAATTTGTAATTTCTTTACTTATGAGATCTATCGTTTTTAAATTTTGTTATAAAGTTTTTTCTCTTTATAATTTCCTTACTAACGCGATGTAACGTTTTTAAATTGTAAATAAGGGATCGTCCATAAATTACGTAACGCAAAATTTCACAATAAACAAAACAAAAAAAAGATCAAAAGTGTTCCCTCGCAGAATCTTAATTTAAATAAATAATCAAAATAGGAAACTAAGTTAAATGAAAATCGCTGCGTAAAAGAGCTTAATATCTCCTACTTCTGTTCTTAAAATATTTTTTGCGTTGCGTAATTTATGGACGAACCCTAACGTAAATCTATCAACGTAACAGCAAGTTTAAAGTCTATTTACGTCCTCCTTCGAAATTTTTTTGGATCAGATAATTAAGTAAATTAATCAAATATTAATATGAACAACAAAAATGAAACAAGCAAAATTAAAAGCAATATCCATAGATCATCCAGGTCATATTCGAAAAATCCGGAAAATTGTTTGCGTAAAATATCCGGAAAAATCCAGAATATTTTTCCCTTATTTTACTTTTAACTTTGTTTTCAGCTGAGTTGTTTCTCAATTTTGTTGAAACTTTTCCAAATTTTTGTAAGAGTGATGACTAAAAAAGCTTAAAAACCAAATATATTACAAAAACATAAAACTAAACTTGTATGGAAAACCTTTTTGGATATCGGGAAAAAATAAAAATTCAGAAAAATAACCGGAATTTCAGGAATATCTGGAAAAAGATAATCCCTGATATATATATATATATATATATATATATATATATATATATATATATATATATATATATATATATATATATATATATATATATATATATATATATATATATATATATATATATATATATATATATATATATATACAATTACAGTTTGCTAAAAGCTTCTTTTTTTATTGTATATATATATATATATATATATATATATATATATATATATATATATATATATATATATATATATATACAATTACAGTTTTACAAATACTTCTTTTTTTCGTAATGCACTTTGGCGACAATCTGCTCAGCAGTAAAACATTTAAATAACTCTTTGGTTTCATTATTTTGATCCAACTTTACATTTCCTTAAATGTATCAATTTGTCGTATATTTGCTTTGAAGTTCGAAATTTTAGAATTTCATTTTCTGCAACAACTTGACTTATTAAAGCGTGAGTCAATCTTAAAGTATCAGAAATGTTAAACAATTTATGCAGCTCATTAATTTCATCCGTTGTACAAGATTTTTTTGGCTGTATTGAATATGAAGTAGGTTGAAAGTTGTATTCCTCATCACTTTTTCTTTCACTGGGTTCAGAAAATAATAGTGGCGAAAGTTCAGGGTTTTCTACGGAATTTAAAACCTTTTTTTCAATATCAGTTTGTAAAAATAGACTTTGTGATTTAGATTCTTCGATGTTGCCAGTTGAAACTTTGATGTCGCCAAATAAAGTTTCTGTAACTTTTTCAGATGCTTCACACGAGTCTTGTTTGTTTTTATTTAGGTAATACCACCTTTTGGCTGTCTTTTCTTATGTTTCATAAGGGTTGCTAGCTTACTTTTAAGTTCAGGATAGTTATCATAAAAATAAGTCAGCAAACTTTTTCGAATCATTGTTGCACTGCATCGTTTTTCCGTTGAATCTACATTTGGTAAACATTTCAAAAAAAAAGAGTTTAATTGAGTTGAAACTCCACCAGATTCGAAGACACCACCAGACCATGTAATAAAAAAGTTTTCTGACATTTTGCTAGGAATCGCACTGCATATTATTTGATCATAACAATCACACATAAATTTTAGATCATGGTTTAATATAATTTGACATGGACCATATTGTTTGGCTGTTTTATGTTTTTTCACTAAAATTATAAAACTTCCTTTAGGTGAAAAAGATCCTTTTCGAAATTCTGCAGTGGTCATGCTGGAAACAGCTCCCGAATGAGAAATATTGTTGGTTATTAAACCAAAGAAAATACAGTCTCTGATATTGGTAAACAGTGTTCGAGTAACTAGAAATTCTGATGGTCTGTTTTTGTAATTAATATAAATAAAATTAACGTTTTTTACAATTTCCTGATAAAAATCACTTTTAATTATAGCTTGAAAAGATTCCTTTGGAATTATATTTTCTGCATCTTTCATCATAACATCGTATTCTCTTAGTGCTTCTTCGCCACGCAATTATGTTCTCCAATTGCTAATTTCCTTCTGACAAACATTAAGAACGTCAGCAGTTAGAATACAAGGAACAACATTAGGAACAGTTGGAGTTAGTTTAGAGCGAAGAAGAAAATTGATAAAGGGACTCAATGATAACAAATAAGAACGTTGAGTACCTGGCTCATAAACTTTTTGTTTAGCGTAGGAAAACTATTTCTCTTGTAGCAGTTTAATGTCTAAAAGACTTGTATAACTTATAGTAGTCAAATTGTGTAGCATTAGAGAGTTAGGTGAAATGACTTCTACTATTCTTCTAATTTGATGCATTTTATTTAATGCAGCTTGGGGATCTTTCTTTCCTCCAGACGGACTTTTTAAATAAAGAAGAAACGTATGCAGATAATCTTGAAAACAAATATGGTTATTTTCTCCTTTTTCAATTGTATTATTTGTTTCATTAAAATCATTGCAAATATAATCATCTGCATTTAATGCATCAATGCAAGGATTACTATTATGTTCATTTGGCAAGCAAGAAGATTTAAAACAGACTTCATTTGGCAATGTTTTCATCAATCCTGACCTGGTTGAATTTGGTAAAGCAGACTTTATATCAATCAATTCAGATTGTTTTTTTGTTTGTGATAGTGAAACTGTAAATTGTTTACTTTCAATATAAAGTTGCTTTTTGCTGAGCATCTCTCTTTATTTAGGCAAATTATTTTTAAGATAATGCGGAGATCTATAAAGATGATCATGTATATTTTTTGTAGCAATGCTACAAATAGGACATCTGTATTTTGTTTTATTTTTAGATTTTTCACCTTCATCTACAGATCTTGTTTTTCTTAGATCAAAAAACCCTCTTGCTTTCCTTGCTGTTTCAGGATCAATATTATGTATATTTCTTCGATGTCTTGGAAGATCAATTATGTATGCATCGCAGTCTTCTTCTGTGCACCTAACCTTTTGACGGACATACTTTTTTGACTCTTTGGAATCATTGCATTTTTTACTCTTTATATTACTTTTCCATTGTTGGAACAGCTGTTATAACAAAAATACAAAACTCTGCTTAAACAAGTCTTCTTAAAAGAAATCAAAGTAAAATAATATAAAGTAGAATCTCTGCATTCAAAGAATCACTTATTTGAAATTTTAGGCTATTCAAAGTAATTTTTATTCCCCTTGAACCTTCTTTAAAAGACTCATGTATCAGTTATATAAAATTTCAGCTATTTAAAGTAAATTTTTATCCCCTGTTGAGGATCAAATAAACAGGACTCTACCATATTAATAACAAAATTTAGAATTGAACAGCATAAAAAAATCCTGTTTAATTCAATGTAAAATTTAATTAAATTAAAAAAAAAAAAAGTATATATATATTTTCAGCATTTTCAAAACATTTTCAAAACTTTTCAGCCTCAGAAACTAAATCAACTTTCATAAATCCTGTTAACATACTTCCCATTTTCATTTGCTCATTTTTCGTTCATTGCAACTCTACTAAACAACAAATGTTATTTTGAAAATAAAGTTTATGTAAATATATTATATACAATAAAATTTATGTAAATGTGTTTATAAGTATTTTAATTGTTCTTGATGTCAACCTGTGAATATCATTGTTTAATTCTTTATTCTTTTGAGACTGAATTAAAAAAAGAAGATTAACAGAACATCATAAAATCAGTGATCATTCAAAACGTTGTTATAAAAATAGATATATTTTTGCAAAAATATTTTAATGTTATTGTCTAATAATGGAACTGTCCATATAGCTTCGATTATCCATATAGTATCAACTGTCTATATTATCTCAATATAACCAATATAAATAAAATTAGTTATGAATGTTCTCCATAAGAAAAGGTAGTTTTTATATTTTTTAATGACAAATAAAAACTTACAAATTTTTTTCCAAACCGTTTATACACTTTGGTCATATCACTTAAATGTTCCTAAAATGTTTAAATTATTTTAAAAAATATTTATACCTTAAAAAAAGAACCAGAGAGTTCACAAATGCAAATGTTCAACATAACATAATGTTTATATAAACCACATTTGGGTCTTTTATTAATTTATTGAGCAACTTCAATAAAAACCAAAAGTGTAATTTATAGATTTATATTTCCACAAGCTAAAATAGTCAACACCCAGCAATCACTACACTATAGCAATATACAATATGTTGGACCAAATTGCACAAATTATGCTCAATGATTCCAACGTTATTCTGACATTGGCCAAATGTAGTGTGCAGGCTGAGTAGTGCAAAAAATAAATATAAGTAAATAAAAATAAAAATAAAATTACATTTAGTTCCATCCCATTCAAACTACGATTTAATGCTTTTGTTACTGACAATTTTACCTGAACAAATAAATTTTATTATTGTATATATTTGAAAAAGATTTAAATAAAGTCATTAAAATATATTTTCATTTTTACATAAAGTAGACAAAAGCTAATAACAATCATTAAAAAGCAGAAAAATACAAATATAAAAATGTATAAAACCCAGCTTACAAAATAGACCATAAATGGCAAAATTCGAGTTATATAGAAAAATTATCTTGCTTAGCAACATAATTTAATATGCACTTATTGTATATCTACTTAATAACCATGTTTAGAAATCGAATTAGGCCTTTTTGTTAATAACATAGGTTAAAACAATTCCAAACATTTTTGGGTTCTCGACTATTTTCTTATCGTTTTAAAAAAATGTTCAATTTTTTATATATATTTATTTGATTAAAATATTTTTTGGAAATTTGTTGAAATTTGTGCATCACTTTAGACACTTTATGTTTTGGAAAACCTACAAAAACCGCAAAATTGCAAAGCAAAAGATATTGAATATAAAAAATATATAGTAAAACATTTACTTCATCCTTATTATCAACATGTATAACTTTATATTCTTCAACTTCACAACGAATGCTTTCATCCAATACTGAACAAACCTGTTAAAAAAAATATTATGTAATCATTGTATATATATTGTTTTTTTAAATATTATTATATAACCTCATATAGTAAAACATTTACCTCATCCTTATTATCAATATGTATAGCTTTATATTCTTCAACTTCACAACGAATGCTTTCATCCAATACTGAACAAACCTGTTAAAAAAAAAAATGTAAGTATTATGTAAATATTGTTTTTTTAAATATTTCTATATAACCTTTTATAGTAAAACATTTACATCATCCATATTATCAACATGTATAACTTTATATTCTTCAACTTCACAACAAATGCTCTCATCCAATACTGAATAAACCTTTTTATAAAAAATGTAATTATTAAAATAATAATATTTTTTTTAAATATTATCATATTGCATAAATAATATATTTTTATGCATTGTTTTATTTTAATAATTTATTTTAAGCAGTGTAAAAATAACAGATAAGAAGATTTATTTTTAACACTCATTACATTTTCTTTTCGAGAAATAGGCCCTTTATCGATATCATCATTAACTTCAATGTCAAAATGAATTTCTTCATCTGATTCTATACAAACCTGTTTGTATAGAATTAGATGAAAAAAAATGTCAAAAATATATTAAAAGACCATTAGATTTTGTTGCATTAACGTTAAAGACCTTTTTGAACAAATGCTTTTTTATAATAATTTTTTTTAATTAAAACGAAAACTTTTAAAATTAGTACACAACATAGCTTCTTTTCACACAAAAATTGTTGTCTCTTATATGTATGCATAAATATATATTATATTATATAAAATAGTATATTATAAATATGTAATTTTTACTTCCCATAACACGTAAGTCAAATTTTGCACTTAAAGGGTTGAGAATCAGTAGTATGAAAAATAAAAACAATTTGAAAACTCACCCTTGTCACTAATTCTGATACTAGTTTTGTAATTATAAAGTTCTGAAAAACACAGCCAATTTATTTTAATAAAATGTATTAAATCCATTCCAAAAAGATATATAAAATATAAAATGTTAAAATAAAAATTTAAATTTTTTAAATGATATTGAATTTTCAATAAAAATAACTTTACTTTATTAAAAATAACTATTTTCAATAGTAATTAGATAATATCTAATTACTTTTCATTACTTATGTCTGAATAAGCAAAGAAGTAAATAAAACAAACCTTTTCTTCTTTTTCAACTGTAACACATTCTTTTTTAACACTCACAGTTTCTTGATTTGACCATTTTTGTAAACGCTCATGTTCTAAAATATTATAACACAAAATCAAAAAGAAAGAAAACATGAAATGAAAATAGATTTAATTAGTTGAGATAAACAATTTAAAAAAATAGCAGGTAACTGTTATAAAATAACATAATATTACAAAATATATAAATATAATTATTTTTCAAATAAAACAAGTATGGAGAAAACATACTAGCTATTTGAGATCATTTTAGCCTTTCTATTACATTTTCTGTAAAAGACTTACCGCAGTCTAAAATAAATAACAAACAATAAACAAATCAATACAAAACAGCTTAAACAAACAATATAAAATTACATTTTAGAATATAGAATTTTAAAATTAAACTTACAATTTAAAATTATTTTGTAAAACACTTACTTAACAGACTTTAAAAAAAAAGGAATAAATTTACTAATTTATAAATTGACTAAAGCAATAAATTGATTAAAAGCTTAGATTATTTAATCTTAGATTACCAGATGATTTATTAAATTCATCTCCCTCTGACAATTCTTGATTCCTTAGATAAAATATAGCAAATATAAACATTTTAGAAAGATTTGAAACAAAAAATAAAGATTTCAAAGCACTTTCACATATAATGCGTAAACAACTTTTATAGTTAAAACAAGTTTTCTCTGAAAAACAATATTTTGGTTATTTAATCGCTTTATTTAGACATTATTTAGACTCGAGTTACATTCAGTTAAACAAAAATGTAAACCATGCAACCGCATAACTATATTTTTTTGTAACCATCCTATTACAGGCAAACTTAATTAAAACTATCTTGGAAAAACAATAAATTACCTATCAGAAATATAAGTCATTATTAAAGCTTCAGCCTAACAATAAATCAAAGCAGTATACAAACAACTTTAAAAAATAAAAACAAATATACTTAAAAAAATAAGTCAAACTAAAATAAAAACGAAATAAAAAAAATAAATATATAAATATATATATTTATATATATATATATGTATATATATATAAAATTCATAAAAACTATATCAACTAGATAATACTTGAATTCTTGACATGCCATCAACCTTGGCAAATAGATAAATAATGGTTTCTGAAACTAATACTTTGAAAACGTATTCATTATGCTATATTAAAAAAGATCACAGTGATGCATTGTTTTTTCTTTAAAAGATTATTGCACTCAGCAAGTATGGGGTCATCTATATACTACATATTCAGTGAGGGAGGAGTGTCACAAGTTGAGTAAGTTCCGTATGAGTGTGTATATGGGAGTGAGAGAGAAGGGTTCAACAAATGTATGTATGCAAACCCAAAAAATTGAGATGGCAGTTCACCTTCACTTGCCATTTATAAATGGTGAACGCTTATGTTCAAGGCCTGTTAAGATTATTAAGGTTAAACAACGCAAAAAAAAAAAACGTTTTTTTTTCATGTTTGCGAGCAATACTAGGAAAAAAAATTTTTTTTTATTAAATTAACACTACTGTTATCTTGTTTGTAGAAATTAAATTTACTTATGATTAAAATTTTAATAAGATTAAAATCACACTTCAAGACAATTAAATTATTAATTTAATTGTTTTAAAATGTGGTTTTAATCTTTTTTAAAGTTTTTCAAAATAAAACCTACGTAGTGCGGAAGGCTTATGACACAATATAGACATTTTGATTCAAAAAGTTGTTTATGTCGACAAAGAAACAAAAAAGCAACCCAGTCTTTTTTAAGAAAATGGATAACACTGATAGAAACAATTGACTGAATGTTATACATTAACGTAACGTTATAAGTAACGTAAATAATAAAGTTGAGGGAGGGGTTAAGCACACCAAGCATATGTATGCATAAGAGGAGGAGGGGGAGAGATAAAATGTACAAGGTGCAACAGGGGGTAAGGGGAGGTCCAAATCTGGAGATTTTAGCATATGTAATATATAGATGGCCCCTAAATTTTTCATTTTTATTAAATAATGCATTAAAAAAACATGACTTAAAACTTACTTTTATAGAATTATATGATCGAACCAAAGCACTATATATATTGTGTTCCTGATCCTCATTTAATATGTCAATAAGTTCTTGATCACATAAACTTCCTAGTTTATAAAACATTTTAAATAAATAATAGTTGACTAAATCATTTTTTTAGAAAATAAAAAAAATACGGCTTACTTTTACTTTCTTTTCTTGAATAAAATAAATTGTGCCTGTAACTGTAAACCTAAAAGTCATTACACTGAAATGTTAATTTTTTAAATTTACCTCTCTCTCTCTCTTTCTCTCTCTCTCTCTCTCTCTCTCTCTCTCTCTCTATATATATATATATATATATATATATATATATATATATATATATATATATATATATATATATATATATATATATATATATATATATATATATATATATATATATATATATATATATAAATGCAGTGAAATCCCGATATCTCGAACCCTAAACCAAACTCAAACATTCCTTAAGTTGAAGAATTTTATTCGTCCCTGTGGCTGATGTTTTGTTGGTAACCCGAACTTTAGAAGAAAAAAATTAAAACAAAATCTTATTTAAAGTTAATGTTATTTGTTTATTAAATTAAAACTTTTCAATTTTTTAAATATCATAAAAAAATATATTAAAAATTTCAAAACTAAGACAGAGAGTCATTAGTAGATGTTATATTATATGAGGTATTTTATTTATCATTTAAGATCGGATAAAAAAAAACTTGATAACTAAAATTAATTTCACTTATCTTTAAAATTTCGAACTAATTTTTTGGTTTCTTGTTAGGTATATATATGTAAATATATACATATAAATATATATACATATACATATATATATATATATATATATATATATATATATATATATATATATATATATATATATATATATATATATATATATACATTCAAAATATAAAATGTAAAATTCAAATTCCAGTTGAACCCTTGCTAACACTATCTCATAATAAACGCTCAATAGCTAGAACCCCAATAAATAAAATATAGTCCAATATTTTTATTTGTCTCAGTAGATGATATTCTGCCAATTACTTAATTTTTAGAAGATAAATATACACAAAATCTTAAAGAAAATAAACAATTTTTATTCATTTAACTGTTTTTTTTTTTGAATTTTCTCAATACCAATATTAGAGAGAAAAACTTAGACAGAATGACTTTTGCACATTTTTAAAGTTATGATGTACTTTATTAAACTTTTAGATTTAATTTGAAATAAAAAAAAATTATAACTAAAATTATTTTCAACAAGGGCTATTAAATTCAACAATCTAATCATTCAAACCCTTAAACAGTTAGAGTTTTTTATGTTATATACTTTTTTTTAAGATTTCTTTTTTAAGCAAGTGCCATCGCCTTAACTAAGAAGCTTTGATTGCTTTGAGCATAAATATGTAAAAGAACAGATTTTTTTATCAATAATCAATTTTTTTCCTAAATATGTAATAATAAACTAAAATCTATTGGTATTGTACCTTGGTTCCTTGTATATTGGTATTGTACCTGACCAGAAAATATAGATTTAAGTAAGTGAGAAGAAGCAATCTCCTCTATTTTTTCTTAACTTTGCTTTCAGCTGAATTGTTTCTTAATTTTTTCCTAACTTTTGTATGAGTCAATTATATTACACAAATAAATTAACTTGCATAAATGGAAAACTCTTTGGATATCCGGAAAAACTGAATTAAACAAAATTGTGTAAATAAAACATTACCAATTTTTTTTTAATGCAGCAACACATTTGGCTTTAGATAGATACTTAACAAAAAAACACTTCAGATATTTTTGCTTTTAAAAAAAAAATATATATATCTTTTGTGCTAGAGAACTTTTAACTAATGCAGAAAAAATTATAATTTTCAGTTGGAAAGTTTAAACTTTGTTTACATTTCCTTTTTTTTAATGAAGCATTTTTTTAAAATTTTTCAAAAAATGGTGTTTTTAAAAACAGTTTATTTATGTCAATTTTAACTTATTTTTTTAATACTTCTAGTTGATTATAGGATTTTTATTTTTCAGTTAATTTTTATTTTCTTATAAACTATCTACTCCAGTTTGAAGTAACTTAATCCCAAAAATTGCTGGTATCTAATAAATAATAAAAAATTTACCTCTACCAATTATATAGTCTTTTTTTGTTGGGGAAACTTTGCAACAACCTTGTTAATGAAATAATTAAATTATGCAGATTAAAAAAAACTTAATTTTTATTTATACAAATTTTTAATTTATACAGCTTAAAGGTTTATGCAATCGACTAAATTTTGTTTTATCATAAAAAAATGTTTATTTTAGAGTTAAGTGACTCTTTTATTGACAAATTTAACAAATCAACGAGAGTCTCATTGATTTGTTAAATTTGTTTAACATACCATCCAAACTTGAATTAAAATTTTAACATATTGCACAATTGAATACTTTTATATTGTATATATATACTATGAAATAGTATATAATGATAGTATTAGTATAAATAAGTATTAGTTAACCTAATAACAAATGAATAATAACATTCAAAATTTAATACCTGCACATACTTTACACACAACATAGCCATCCCCAATTGTTCCTCCATGGCATTGGATGTCTATTATTTTGTTACACAAAGCACATATGGTTCCAGATAGGAAAGCGTCCCCAGAACATACGAGGCATTTTACCATTTTAATAAATATTTGTTGACTAAATATTTTTAAACTTTAAATTTAATTACTAAGATTTTCGTATTATTAAACATACAAAAACATATCAAATTCTTTAAGAAATATTAAACGTTTTATAGAAAATTTCTATAAAAAGTTCTATAAACCATTTAATACCTATGATTGCTTTAATCATTTGACTGAACATATATTCAGTACAACATAAGGCACAATAGATAATAAAATATGTATTTAAGTAAAAACAATTTATTTGAAATACTACATAAGTTAAATATTTCTCAATAAATTTAATTTTTATAATCTTTTAATGAAACCAAACTTTTGGAAACAATTATAAACTTTCAAAACTTTTCTTGAACAAACTTCCAGCAATTCTTCGAGTAAGTTTAATGGCGAAAACTTAAGTTTATTTCAACAGTTGTCAATTTGAACTCTTTCAGGTTGCAAAAACGAGTTTAAACACATTGAAGTTGCAAAAACAAACGACGTGGATGCAAAAACGAAACTAAGTTGCAAAAACGAATGCTTAAGTTGCAATACCGAAGAAAAAGTCGCAAAAACGAAAAAAAAAGGTGGCTATACCGAATTTAAACATGGTCATCATCATCATCTTCATCATCATCATCATCATCATCATCATCATCATCATCATCATCATCATCATCATCATCATCATCATCATCACCATCAAGCATACAGTTGATGATGATAATTAAGATGATTCTGATGATGATGATGATGAAAATGATCATCATCATCATCTTAATCATTGGCATCAACAACAAGTGAGAGGGAGTTCAACAACAAGTGAGAGGGAGTTCAAGGTTTCAAAGGTTATACAAAAAGATCGCATTAGACAACACAGAATGTTGAAACACTTCTTTTTTTAAAATAAAATTTAAGAGCTCTTTCTTATTCAACATGTTTATGTGATGGCCCTGAAGACTTTACACCACCTAATTCAAAATACTATAATGTCTGGGACACAGAATCATTAGAATCAGAGGAAGAAACTTAAATGATTATAGAGTGTCTTATTTCTTATTTGTCATTATAAATATTTATGAATTATATCATATTTGTATTGTCGCGCTCACTAGCGCGGAACGACTTCTTGTTATATGTGTTATATTGTCAGCGGTTAATCCCGCGTTCTCTCTAACTCCTACTCTGGTTCTACGCGAACGTTGTAACTTCTTGAGCGCGTTTCACATTATTTTACATTATTATACGAGAATATATTTGTATACATATCAAAACAGTATGGTTTGTAAATGAACCACACAAATTGGAGCCCACGGAAAATAATTATTGACATATGAATACAAAGATGCAAAAGATTTAAACAGATTAAAAGATTAAAGAACAAGAAAAAAGTTTTATTTACATTTATTTACTATTTACTTGTTATTATAAATTATAATACTTAGGAGTATTGTATTAAGGAGTATTAAGTGAACATTTTGAGCTTATCGTTGTATCGAACATTTATCAAGTTATTTTATTAACAACCATTAATATTTAAGTAAAAATACTTAATATTTGTCACTTTAATAATTATTTACCCAATCAGGAAGGATTTAAAACAGTTACCGTTTTGAAAATAAGTATCTGTAAGTTTTATTTTTCAAAAAAATGTCAACTATTCAAGGCAAACGTAGAATTAGAACGGTTAACATAAAACTTTTAAACAAATTATTCGAAAAATCTTTAAATATTATTAACAACACTGACGATGAAAACCAGTTTAGTAACCTTAGTGACTTAAAAGACACTTTAAACGAAAAATACAATAAAGTCATCCAATTGGATGAAGAGATGATGAGGACGAGTTAGAAAATGAAGTAGAATCTTCTACAGAATTTAATCTAGTATTCAAAAGTGAAATTTCTAAAATTAATAAAGAGTTAAAGAAATTCGACATTAAAACTGACTGCAATAGTACATTTAGTAACTTTAAAAACAAGATAGTAAAATTACCTGTTTTAGAATTAGATAATTTTGATGGAGAACCTGAAAAGTGGACATCTTTTATAGAAAATTTTGAATCTGCTATAGATATGAACAATGATCTTTCAGGAATTCAAAAATGACTTATCTTCGAAACTTGCTAAAAGGTTCAGCTTTGTCATCTATTTCAGGTCTCAGTTTATCCAATGAAAATTACAAAATAGCTTTAGACATCCTTAAAGAACGTTATAAAAATAAGAAGAATATGGTATCATCCCACTTGAGAAAACTACTGTCACTTGAAAGAGTGCATAGTTTAAATAGAATTGAAAAATTAAGACATTTATTAGATAATATAGAAATACCAATAAGGAGCCTCGAAACTCTTACAATTGCAAGTGAAATGTATGATCGGAACAAGTAATGGACCATTACTTGTTCCGATTATACTACAGAAAATACCTGAAGAACTGAACTTAATTATAAACAGACAACTTAATAAAAACAGTACATGGGATGTCTTAAGCATCACTAATATTTTAAAATCAGAACTACGTGCAAAAGAACAAGTCTCATTAAATTTAAATAACAGTGTTGATAAAACTTATACTACTGAAACATTTTTGCAAGTAACAATAACTACGAAAAATCAAATTTTAACAGAAACTCTTGTCAATTTAATTACAGTAAGAAAGCTAAAGAAAATTCATACTTTGATAGAAATAATCCAACTAATATAACACAATTTATCAAATGCCTTTTTTGTGACAGATCACATAAATCAAAATACTGCAAATTTATAACAGACATTCAAAATAGAAAACGAATAATTAGTGAAAAACATCTGTAATTTAATTGTTTAGGAAGTGGTCATACATCAAAGAATTGTACATCTTGTATCAAATGTTTTAAATGTGGTAATCAGCATCATATAGCACTTTGTCTAGAAAAACAGAATAGTGAATTACAAAAAGGTTAACTAACAGCAATTTCAAGTAACAATAGTCAGCCCATTTTACTACAAACTGCTGTAACTGATGTATTTGACATAAATGACAGATTACATAATTGCAGAATACTTTTTGACAACTGTTCGCAGCTTAGCTACATATCACCTGATTTGTGTCGCAAGTTAAAACTTAAATGTGTAGGAAAAAAGAATATTAACATTGAAACATTTGGAAATAATAGCAGTAGAGAAAATCTAGAAAAGGTTGAGTTAAAAATTAAATGCTTGTTTGGAAAAGTTATAAAAATTAACTGTTATGTAAAAGATATTTGTGCGCCTCTCAATGGACAATATATAAATCTTGCTAAAGAGAAGTATAGACACTTACACAATTTAAGACTTGCAGATATTAACTTGCAAAACGGGAACTTAGGGATTGATGTCTTGATTGGGGCAGATTATTACTGGCTATTTATTAAAAGTTCTATTATTAGGTGAAATTATTTTGATCCAATTGCCGTTAAATCTAAGCTAGGTTATTTATTAAGTGGTCCTAATAATGTTAATAATATGTTTAAGAATAAAAATTATAATTGTTGTGTAAATACAGCTCATGTCATGTTTGTTGAATCAAATTCATCTCTTAAATCATTAATTAAAGAATCCATGTCATCTGTATGGGGTGTTAGAGAGATGAATAAGTGTAACTATGAGGTCATTGATAGGTTTCGTCACACCATTAAATATGATAATACCCTCAAACGCTATAATGTTAACTTGCCCTTTAAAGAAGATCATTCTCCACTTAGTGATAACTTCGATTTATGTATCAAGCGTTTTAAAGGTCTTCAAAAAAAAAATTGAGTAAAGATGATTCTTTACATAAATTATACAATGACATTTTTAAAGAACAATTACAGAACAGTGTTATTGAACGAGTTATTGATAAAAACAAATTTGAAAAAATACACTACCTACCGCACCAACCAGCTCTGAGAAATGACAAAGTTACTTCTAAAGTCAGAATTGTCTTCGATGCAAGCAGTTCTGTTGATGGTCTTCATTGAATGACTGTCTCTACCCTGGACCATTTTTAACCACATACTTATATGGAATTCTCTTGCGTTTTTGTGCCCAAAAAATTGCCTTTGTGGCAGACATTGAAAAAGCTTTCTTGCAGGTTACATTATCTCCTGAAGATCGTGATTACGTCCGATTTTTGTGGTTTGAGAACATTAACTCACTTAATAAAGACAATATATTTACTCAAAAAGTTATTCCATATAGAATTTGCAGAGTTCTGTTTGGCGTTACATCTTCTTCCTTTCTTCTTTCTGCTACACTCATTACTCACGCTGAAAAGTACCTCTCTGATGATCCTATATTTGTTAATAAGTTAATGAATTCTTTACATGTCGATGATCTGAACTCAGGAGCTGACTCAATTGACTCAGCCATTAATTTTTATCAAAAATGTCAAGATCGATTAAAAGAAGCTGGCTTTACTCTTAGAAAATTCGAATTGAACTGCAACCAACTTGAAAACCTAATTAAAGAACAAAATTTTACCTCCTTTGATCTTATCAAAGTATCAGGCTTATTATGGAATAAAAAAGAAGACAACTTAATCTTTGATTTTAGAAACTTGACATACAATGATGACTCAATTCCAACAAAACGTAAAGTTCTTCAGTTTATTGCAAGCATTTATGACCCACTTGGTATAATTAATCCATTTATAGTCAAGTGTAAAGTATTCTTTCAAAAACTATGTATCAAATAACTTAATTGGGACAAGCCTCTTTTATTTTTTCTTTTTTTTCAATAATTTTCGCTTCCAACAAGGCTTCAAGCAACCACTAATTAGTGTTGGAAGTTAATGGAAGAGAAAAGATGAAGATTAACTTGAGGGGAAAATGTTATTGGTGTGGCAAGCCATTATCAATGACATTCAATCCTCTAAACCCATTAATAATTAACCATAATAATTATTCAAATTATGTCGTTGACTTGTCATTGCATGGATTTAGTGATGCCGGTAATATAGCATTTGGTTGTTGTATATACTTATTGTGTTCCTTTGATGATGATCACAAAGTATGAAATTACTACTAATTTAGTTTTAAATGA